ACATACATGAGCACATTTGCTTCTCACAACAAAGCTATCACATGAAAGTCATTATCACAGCTTTTAGTTGAAGGAAGCCGAGATCACATAGCTCTTAAATGGTGGAGTTCAGGATTTAAATCTAAGATTGGATGACTCCAAAGCCAGAAACCACCAAGATGCTTCCTATATTAAAGGAAGTTGATGATAAAATATCAGAATATTAAAGAGAAAAATCACTAAAGCAGATGAATATTGTGTTTGACATGCATATTCACAATCAGATTCAGAGGGCAAACTTGGATAATTTGACTTATCCTCCTTAGGCTTCAGTCTTGCTAAGGTCTGCTATTTTGTGATACCAACACCTATTTAAAACAAAATAATCTTGTTTAATCAATGGTACAAACTGAGCAAAAAACCATCTTTGGCTCCTCTTACCATGGTTTACTAGGCATGACAAAATTCCTCAAACTTTCCTCTTAGGGCTGGAGTAAGGGTGGGTGAGCTCCAGGATTTAGCCATGCATTCATTCATTTTCTTATTAGCAATCATTTATTGAGTGTTTAATATATATATGAACCAGGCACTTGGTTTAAATAAGCAAAATGATACAGTCCTGTCCATACACAATGTACAACCTATTACTTCATAAAAACCAATAACTATAGGTGAGTGCAGTAGATACTATAGAGGGAAAACCAAGGTCTTATGGGAACACATTAAAGTGATACCTCATTTTGATATTGTACTTCAGGGAAAGTACTACGACATAGTACTTCTGCATCAAGAGGAAGAAGAGAAGAGAGCCATAAGCTTTCTGAGCAGAAGGAAGAGCCTTCTCAAATTGATTTAAAAAACAAAAAACAAAAAAACAAACAAACGAAAAAAACAGAGGGAAAAAAAGGGCACTCACCAAACGACTCACAGTTCTTGGACAATGACCAAACATCAGGCCAATAAAGTAGAATAAATTTGTTTTTCTTTGGTCCCCAATGCAATGACTTGGCCATTCTATGACTAGGGCTGCCCTTGGTCAACATATGCCCCAAGCTGCCTCTGGCCACCAGAGCCTTTTGCTATGATCTTTTCTGTGTATCCTCTGGCATTCTCAAGACCATTTCAGTGAAATTGAAGTTTGCATGTAAAATCAGATTGCACAGAGAAAATCACCTGCTGTCAGAATTACTCTAGAAAATCACTTAGAATGTCTCTATTTTAGATATCTCAAGGTCTAATACAGTTAGTTTTTTTACCAGCAGTGGAAAAGATAATTATTTATATTCAAGACAGATAACTGGCTTAGAAGATTTGGGCCAAAACCACATTGTGGGGTGAATAGATCCCCTTCCTTCAAAGACATTAAATTCTGAGAAGTGTCTACAGCAAGTGAGATGTCTACACGACAAGAGGTGGAGGGAATGGCAGATACAAGTTCTTTTTGGCATACTTACTCTTTACTGTTGTAAATTTTTGACTGAATGGTGAATACATGGCTCCTGCCTGAAAGCAAGCAGGATGCTCCCTTGTCTACCTGGGGCCCAATGCATTGTAGAAAGTTAAACTACGACAAGTGACCCAGATGGAGGGAAGATCTAGATAAAATAAATAGCATTACCTTGACATTAAAAGGTAGATTTATCTGGGTCTGTAAGAACTGTCAATGTCATCAAGTCACCTAATCTAGGCAGCTATGACATGGACACAAAATCACCCCAACTCACACTTGCCATTAGTGTACTGGCCAGTTTACCCTGCCTGTCTGCTTTCAGAATCGGAATGTGTTCAACATTACATGACTTTTACTCCAGCACCACGATTATAAGGAATATTTGACAACAGACCTTCAAACATTTAGAACGTATCTACTGTGTGCTTATTGTGACATGTTTGGGAAGTGGGAGTAAATACTAATGAAACACATTTCCTTTATCCTCCAGTCTAGCGGAAGAGCAAGCAATACACAGGAAATTAGAACACAATCAGTGCAAGTTTGGGCTCTACAGGAAGACATAGGAGTGGGTCTTACCTTGAGCCAGGCTCAGAAGAGGGAGGCAATTCTTTCAAAATGCAGGGAGCTGCATGAGTCTGTAGCATGAGTAGTAGGGGGTTTTTTGTTTGACAAGTGTTGATGATGAAGTGAATAGAAGATGCCTGTGTCCCCCGAATACAAACTATATTTTCAGGAAGAATAAAATGTAGGTATGAGCCACAAAGAAGAGTCTGCACCTCTGATGAGAATCTGCAGAGCAGTTGAAAGCTCAATCCTGCCTAAAAGAAAAAGAAAACAGAAAAATTGACAGCCCTCAATGGCATTTCAGTCCCTTGCTGGAGTAATGTTTACGTGAAATATCAAATACTTTGAAAACCTTATAGGAAATAGTATGCTAAATGTGTCTGCAAATCACTGGCAATATCATAAGCATACGTTTACATGCAACTTTTAAACAAGATCTTCCAAACACGCATGGACATGTTTGGACTACTGACAACATAACATCAGCAAAAGGTTGAGCAGCACTCTTTGTTCAGTTAAGTAACCAGTCATTGATCAGTAATTTTGTCATAGAGGCACATGTTATTCAGAGGAAAACAAAAACAGCACTGGAATTGTTGGGAATTTTCAATAATTGAAGAAAATACTAAAAACAGCATATTTTTCAGTCCACTCAAAAACATCTCTTGACCACTAAAGCATATAAATGGGATATAATACCCAGGAAAACAGGGCTGAGAATATAGATTTTCTCCATAGTTCCCTTTAGTAGGTTTAATTGTATTTAGTAACTCAGTGCATCATTCATTAGATATACTACTAGTTGGACTATCTTTTTTTTTTAAGCTTCTTGCTTGCTAATTGTGATCCATGCCAAATTTCTTGGAAGTGATTTTTTAATTTTAGATTCAGGGCAACCATGTATAGGTTTGTTACATGGATACATTGCATAATGGAGAGGTTTGGGCTTCCAGTATAGGATTACTGTTTTCACTTCAATACCATCGTCACCAAGAAGGCAAATGTGTGTGTCAAGTCCTAGTAAACAACTAGGTCTATCCCCAGTATTAGAAGCACAAAAAGAGGAAAGAAATAGTGCAAAGAAATAGACACAAATGGTAGCAATTTCATTTTCTATACTTCACATTATTGAATCATTTCAGTAGATGTGCCTCCATAAAAGCCTTATCAGAATCATAGGCCCGCCTGCGGCAAAAATACCAATCCATATTCAAACTTCCTATAGTCACATACAACTTGAAAAATACTGAATGCGCGATTGTCCTCATCATTTCACCAAATCATTTAAAGACAAAACAATTGTCAGGTGCTGCCCCAAATGATATTGTTTAAACACCCACTAGCAACATCTATTAATATATTTTTTGCCTTTCAGATTTCTAAATGTTTGTTTCAAAATAGTAGGAGAATAACTACTCCCATTGTATTCAGCAGAAAGTTTTATTCAATGGGAAGCAATAAAATATAATGAAACAAAGCACCTATGATTCAGAATGAGAAAGACCTGCTTTTCAATCTTGGCTTTGCCATTTACTAGTTGTATGACTTTGGGAAAATTGTTTAACATCTTTGAACCCCAGCTCCCTGAGTCCTAAAATCGAGGTATTAGTAGCTACCTAATTAGGCAGTTGTATTAATAAAGACATCACATGTAAAACATACTGTACTGCCTGGCTCACTTTAGAGACTCGGTAATAGCTACTATCATGATTACTTGTTATTAATACTAAAATGGCTTTTATTGACTTCTGATTTCATTGTTAGTGCTTTTCTGAGACGGAGTCTTGCTCTGTCGCCCAGGCTGGAGCGCAGTGGCCGGATCTCAGCTCACTGCAAGCTCCGCCTCCCGGGTTCACGCCATTCTCCTGCCTCAGCCTCCCGAGTAGCTGGGACTATAGGCGCCCGCCACCTCACCCGGCTAGTTTTTTTGTATGTTTTTAGTAGAGACAGGGTTTCACCGTGTTAGCCAGGATGGTCTCGATCTCCTGACCTCGTGATCCATCCGTCTCGGCCTCCCAAAGTGCTGGGATTACAGGCTTGAACCACCGCGCCCGGCCGTTACTGCTTTTCTAAATGTGCCCTTCAGGAGAAAGAGTTCGGGTTTTGGACTACTAAAACCTGTGTTTGAATCCTGAATGTTCTGTGGAATGCAGGAAAGGCCACTTAACCTCTGAACCAGAGCTTCTTCCAATGAAAAATTTGAGTATTAATGCCTACATTGCCAGATTATTACAAAGATTGAATGAAGTCATCTTCAGGACACAGAGTAGACACTCAGTGCCTAATAACTTCTAGTATTAATATTATTGCAATAGCAGTAGTTGAGAAACAAGGAATCATCTGATTTATCTATCTTGGAGCAAAATAATACCATCTTTACAGGGATGGAAAACAAGGTTGTCTTCAGTTGCCAACCATGCTGGTTAGTGACACCATACCATGTTCTGTGAGAAGGACTACAGTATTTAGGGAAGCCACGTATGAATTGCAATGTTGATGAATACAGAAATTAGGATGCCTAATACGTAACCATTATTATATTTAAATATCCTGGGATATCTGCACAAAGCCACTTACAAATGCAAAATAGTCTACCAATACTATATTTTACAAACTGGGAGTATAAAGCAACTGTCTTATTTTCATGAGTAAGGCATTGGAAAAAACAGTAGTATTACGTGGGAAAGCAGGAAAAAGAAAAAAGGACCAAATCCTTTCACTCTATTTTTCTACAAAGCAATTCTTTGGCAAAGCATTGTCCCAATTTGTCATCATCCAAACATTCTAAGTTAACTTGTTTCCATTTATTCAAAGCAGCGGTAGTGACTATTATAAATGAAGTGAAGCATAGAGACCTTAAGATAACAAAGGTTTCTCAAGGGTGATTCTAAAATGTCCCTGTATGTTACAAATAATTGCTTTAACACAAGATGTATAAAAAATAAGAGGAGCATTCCATTTAAGAACCAATTACTTAGAAACCAAAGGAACAGGCCCGAGAAAATTTGCTTTAATCAACTGGTTTTATTTCCTAGAACTGAAATATTCTACGGTTGGTTCTCAGATCTAAACTTCCGAAGCTGCAGTCAACAATTTTTCATCAGAGCCCAAGGGAGAGGGTAAGGGGTAAAGAGACAATATATGGAGAAAGGCACATAGACCATTAGAAAGAGGGGGGGAGGAGACACATCTTCCTCTGTTTTATCAGTGGGCTACATACTAGACCTGTTGATGGGACCAGGTGATGGTACCTGAGTGGAAAATGACACTGAGGAACAGCAAAGCCTTACTACAAGTCATAAAACCTCAAACAGAAAGGGAGCCTTCTAGTTTATCTCAAAAATGGAATAGCAATGGGAAAGCTAGGGCCAGTGTGGAGGCACACCTAGGGGTAGTTCTTAAAAATTTTTGGAACTTCCTTTTATTAAAAAGATTTTCTAAAATATGTGTCTTTACGTCTGAGTGATATGTATGACCGTAGGGTGGCCTTGAGGCTGTGGGGAGAGAAAGCGGCAGCCAAGGATCTTCCCAGGGTATCCCATCAGTGGCCCCAGGGATCTAAATGGGGACAGATATTTCTCAAGGTCCCCACCCAGGATACTGGGCAAAGTCAAGTTTTCAGATCTCACAAACAACTTGGAAGCCCCCAAACGTTTTGATGAAAAACGGCAACTCCCGGAACCTCTTGGGTCAGCAAAAGGATTTGTGGGGGCGGGGGGGGGGATTCCCCACATGCTGCCCCACTTTTCCCTGAATGTCTGAAGCTGGGAGGTATGGCAGGCGTGGACGGGAGCTCAGGAAGATGTCACTCTCCTGCCCGCTAACTACCACAGCTTGAAGACTGAAAGTGCCCCCTGCTCTTCATCTTTCAGGTCTTTCGCTCCTACCCACATTCCTAAGCAGAGGTCCATAATGTCTGGGGGAGCAGGAGGGGTAGGGAGGGGTGTCTAGAGGTGAAAACAGCCTGCCTGAGCCCCAAGTCGGAAACGGATCCAGGCAACGGTGGGGGCGGAGGGGGTGTTGAGCGGCGAGAAGAGGGAGAGGAAAGCGGGGATGGTGGCCTCACTTTATCGCAGGGAGGGAACTGAGGCCCTGACTCAGATCACAGAGGAGTGGGGGCACAGAGGTGAGAGTCAGGTGATCTGCCATCCAGGGGCCGGGCAGGGCAAGGGAGTGTAGGTTGGAGGAGGACGGGCTGGGGAGGGGGAAAGGCAGTCCCAGTTTGCAGGCCATGGCCAGATTCCCCAAGAACGACCGGGCCGCAGCAGGAACAGGGCAGGGGCTCTTCTGGAAACGCTGGTAACTACACGCTGTCGCGATCTCCGCCGCCCGGTGCCTCGGCATGCCACTCCTGGGAGGCCTCCTCCTCGGCAACTTCTTCCTCCCGGAGCTCCTCCTCCTCTGGCTGAGGCGGCTCGCAGGCCAGGCCGGGCTCGCTAGGGGCGCTGCCGTTCTCCACCGCCACGAGGAGCGGACTCTCCTCGTCGAAGGTCGCCGCCGCTGCCGCCGCCTCCGCCTCCTCCTTCTCCTCCTTCTCCTCTTGGTCGGGGGCTGCCTCCTTGGGTCGTTTGGGGGCGTCCTCTGGCGGGTCCCCCGCGCTCCTCTTCAGCGGCCCCTTCTCCTCCTTCTCCTCAGCGGGCTTGTCGTCGTGCGGCTTCCCCACGTCGTCGCCGCCGCCATCAGCGTGAGTCGGCTTGTCCGCGTCGCCCTCCGCGGCCTCAGGCTCCGGCCGGGGCCCGTCTCCGCCGCCCTTCTCCAAGGCTAATGGGCAGTCGGCGGCCTGGACTGTGGGGTTGTTCTCGATCTCCCACAGCCCCTCGCTGAAGCCGCGCCTCTTGTTGGGCTTGCCGAACTTCTCCTTGCACTCCTTGTACGGGAACAGGCGTTTGGGACTCAGGAAGGCCGTCTCGTGGGTCCCGAAGAAAAACACCTGGTAGCGGTTGGGCTGGGTCATGTGCTCTATCCGCGCCGGCCAGTGGGCATAGCCCTTTAACTTGGCAAACACCAGGTCCCCGCTCTTGTACATGGGCATGCCGTAGGCCGACATAGCTGGTTCTGCGGACCCGCCCTGGGCCACACCGGAAGTAGACGCCAGGGTCTGCGCGCGCGCAGTAAGGGCGGCTGCTGGGCGGGAGTTGTTGAGCGACCTGCTCGAGGGACCCGGCGCCACCTAATGGGCGGGCAACGCTCGCGGCCCCGAGAAGATTCCACTGCGAAGAGTGCATTATCTCCCGAACACGCGAAGCCGGTTGGACCCACCCTCGGACGCCATGATGTCTAGAATGCTGGAGGAAATAGCTGGGATGGCCGGGTGGCGGTTGTGCTTGTGGTGGCCTTGTGCTGCTAATCAATCTCTAGGGCACCTGGGCCACATGGTTGCATAGTTTAAATAAACGGTACCAGAGCGGCCTAGAAAGGGGGCAATGTGACAAGAAAACACAGTGACACAATTAGTACATGTTTCCATGAAACTAGTAACAGCCTAGGGCAAGCATGCAGTGTCCCTGTGGGCCCTGATCTGCTCACTACAGGAAACTGTACACCTGCGTTAGGAATAGCTGAAGAGCTGACTGTGTCAGTGGTTTCAACCCTTTTCTGATTTTCTCCGGGACTAGCACTGGAGCCTGCAGTGAGGCTCAAGAACTAGGTGAAAATCTGGTAAAGAGTTAGAGTCAGCAGTGTGGTTAGGATGTCTAAAGTCCACATTACTGGGTAACAAAAATGTCACACATTATTATATCTTTAGGGTCACAAAAAGTGTATAGGACCACCACCACCAAGGCAAACAGACATCTAAATATTTCCTACTTTCTATGGAAATGTTCACCTTGGATGCCAGACATGAACTTTAAACTTTGTTGGTGATTGTATTGTATTGTGAAAGATGAGGCTATATGGTTGTAACATTGAGATCATGGCACATGTTTTCAGTATCTTTCTAGAAGAGATAAGAATTGGGTTCATTATGCATAAGAATTAGGTAGAGATCTGCTCATATGGAACATGCTATTGGTAACTAGAACTTCCTGTGAGCTACAGACTAAAAAAGTGTAATCTCAGCTGAGAAACTATTTTAAAAAGAGAATTTTCTTCAGCTATAAGTCTCTTCTAAACATATGAATGAAAGTGTCAGTGCAACTGCAGGTGTTTACACAACTTTCTACATCTTTTTTGGATCCTGCTTGCTAGCTGTGAGCAAGCACTCTGAAACCTACCCAAATTTATATCAGTACTCTTGAGTATTATAACTAGACAGATGTTCCTTCCCAGTGTAACCAACAGACTAGACGAGAATCAGAGCCCTTAACCCATTTCAGTACCACTCAAATTTGTTTCCCATTTGCTGGGTTGTAACAACCATTTGAACTCTGAATGGATGACAGACATGCTCTAGGCAAAAGGAGATATCCCCTCCCTAACAAGGTGAAATGAACATGAAGCCCTTTGATAATTCTAAAATTCTAAACAAGTTCTTTCAGCTCTTCTGTCAAGCCATTTTCTTAGAATGCCTATCTGCCCTACTCATATCTACCACACTTTTATTAAATAAGTAACATCAACAATGCATCAACACTTCATTTACAAATCAACATCCTGCTACAAAGATGAATCTGACAAGTTCCCTCTTCTGAATTTTACAAAGTGCTAGAAAACTAGAAATGTTTAGTGGCCGTAGAAGAAAATAGGAAATGATAGGCAGCCATGGAGCCCATAATAGAAAGGAATTTCTGTAAGCGGAGATATTGCTATATGTGGCTTTTTTTTTTTTTCAGCTAAGTATGCTGTACCAATGCACATATCATGTATGAAGTTTGCCGAAGTAGGAAAAAATCTAGCTAGATGGCATGTCTAGAAGAGGTATTTGGTTGTACAATGAGCTCAATCTGAAGGCAGGACCAGTTCTAAAAGCCAGCTGCTGAAGCTGAAGGTGGCAAAGATGCCTCACTAGAAAAAGCCAACATCAATAGTTGGGTGGTTGAACTACAGCAGGTGAACAGGTATGAGGGTGTGAAGGCAGGACTGGGGATGTAAGGGTTAGAGCAATAACCAACACCTATGGAAAACTGAGAGAAAAAGTATAGCAGGAAGCAAAGACAAAAAGATCTAGTAGAGAAAGATCTAGGTCTGCAAAGAGCAGTACAGATTCTATTAAGCAAAGAAGTGTTGTTCCCCAAGTAGATCTTGTGCCTCCACCCTTGCCCACTAATACAGTGTGATGCTGAAAGGCTAGCACAAAAGATGTTTACTTTTGAGGAGCTTAAAATCTCATTTAAGAGATGAAGCCCGGGAGAGTTCATTACAGAACAATATAAGCTAGCCTTCAAATGCCAAATTGTGTGTTCTTAAATACTGAAAGAATTCCAGGAGAAATCAATGGGAGTGTGGTTACTAGGGCAGGCCTATAGAAGGGGTAGTAGGAGATAGAATAAAAACAATTCTGGCATTTCTCACTTGTTTGCCAGCTTTGTAAGGCCAGGGGTTAATATAATCTTTGTGAACCTCTGCTACATGATTTCAAGATATTTAAAGTAATACTCAGAATTTCTTTCAGGATTATTACAAATATTAATGGGATTATGGACATGAAAGCCTAGACGATGGCTATGAAGGTCTATGATGTGCCAATAAGTGTGAAGTTGACTTTTATTATGGATTAGGCTATTATTATCATTAGGTTATATGAGGAAAAAGATATATCCAAAGTAGTAGAGAGTCGTGAATAAGGGCACTGAAGGAAAGTCCCCACCGGCTGAATTACATATTATATACAGAATTATATATCCAGCACATCTTCTTCTGTATGAAACTGACCTAAAAGTTTTTGTTACTTGGAAATATGATCTTGTAAAACAGTGTTCTCTAATTACATTTATCACCTGATGGTAGCTTATTCTACCATTAGAAAAGGGAAAATGGGAGGAAGGTTGAGAAGAAGCAACCATTTAAATAGAGTTTCATGGAGACCACTTTCACAGATACATCATTTCTTCTATTCCTACATTCTCAAGGATGCAATTAAGTGGAGTGATCTTGGCTGCTTTTACCTTTGAAACCAACTTGCTTTTAAAGCTACTGTATCTCTTGCTCAAAGTGAGGAGAGTAGAGAGGATACATTCCTGATGACTTGGTTTGGTTTAGATTTAGCTAGTATATAAACAAAGTACTCATGAGCCACTGCAATGATTATTTTTCAGTAACTAAAACTCCGTGAGTATAACTGTTTCTAATAGGTCAGGATGTTTTAAAAATCATGTGTACCGGGAACACCTGTTTGTCAAGAGGACCTAATTTCAGCAGCAGCATACCTATCAAAACACCTTAGAGTCTAAAACATATAACACTTATCATTTCCCTTTTCTGGAAAACTAATGATAGGATTTAAAAGCTGCTTGGCAACAATTATGAAACATAGGCAATAAAACAACGTAATTATACAAGAGAGAGAATAGATATCTAATTGATGTTTTCTTGTTTAGTTACTTTTAAATTCAATTAGCTTGGTGTAAACTATGATTTAAGAGAAACGTAATTGTTTTCTGTGTGCTTTTGTCTTCATTAAAAATATTAACTGCCTCTGGGTTTATGCAATAGAAGTGTTTATACATGGTTAGTATTTGAGATCAAGGCTTTTCTTTTTAAAATGTTCTAGCAGACATAATCATACAGAGTAAGTCCTCCCCTCCACCATGGGTAGAAACTCCCCCACTGTTCTTTTTTAAAAAGTCACAGGATGTCTGCTACCTCTATATTTTGTCACCTCTATGTTTCATCCATGTCCACTAAGCCTAGCCTCTAAAGCCTCAGGGATTTGTGCAATACTGGCAACTGCTCAGAGTTGAAATAAATTCAGTTTCAATGGGGATGTTCTAGGAGCCAAAGAGTAATTTAAGGGATGTTCCCAAAGAGCTATATCATCATCATCAATTTTTAAATATTTTTCATTTTTATTTTTAATTTTTGTGAGTACATATTATCATCATCAATTTGAAGTGAGTAAAATCTGTACTTGCCTTTGATAATGGACTTTGAGGAGGGAGACATGAGAGTGCAGATTTTCCAGGTGGTATATGTGCACAATTGGGCCCCCCTTGGCCAACCATGAATGTGATGACTTGGTTTGGTTGGTGTGCAGGAGGGGGGCTTTTGGGGAGATTGGAATTGTTTGCAAAACTTCTCTTTTATTGGCCATGGAAGGAAAATTGGCACTCCAAGATTAAGAAAAGTGGCTGGTAATGAATAATTCTATTTCATTATTCTTATTTGAGGGCTTAAATATTTTGAAACTTATTATTTGGGAAAAAAATTAAATAAAGTGTGTTTAAATAATATTAATACTTTGCTAATTTTGCATGATGATATTTATTCAAGCCCTCCTACATGAAAATGTATGAGTTATTTATATAACTAGCAAAGTTTAAACAAATAATAGTTATCAATGCTGGTGCGTATTCAATAATTGGGGATTAGATGCAGATAACATCTATTTACATAATAATTACCTGATTAGATGGCCATACTCTGTAAGGTTTTTAAAGTAAAATTTAGTGACTTGGAAAATGCTTGCAATTTGAATAAAGAGACTGGATAAGATATATGGCACAGGTAATTTATGTGCTTATATGAAACCATGTTCCTTAAATTTAACATGTGGCTAATTCTAGGACCCATTTGAGAGAAAGGGTATTTGAAGTAAACAGGACAGTGGGCGTTAAACGGGATGCTTGCAACTATCAAGTGCTCAATTACTATTAGCTCTTAAAATAGCCAGTACTGGCTCTATTTTCTTAAAGTACTTAATTTTTTTCATTACGTGATATATATTTTTGTTGTTACTTTTTTTGCTGCTGTTGTTGTTTCCTACAAATTGTTTCTGGTTCAGAATTTAGCTTGTTTCTCTAATTTTATTATAAGCATATAATTTTTTCTTACTTTTTGGAGGGGCAGTGTTGTTGTTGCATTAAAAGCACAGTTTGAAAGACCCGAGATCAACAAAGTCATGTTTACAAGCAAATATGAAACTCAGTTTTGCAATTTCAATTTTGTATTGCTTGCCATTACATTAAGTTGTCATGTAAATGCTTAAAATGATCAAAGCTTTTAGAAAGCCATGCTCAAATTTTTGAGGATGTAACCTCAAAAACTCAATTGTCTCAATTTTCTCTTACTCTTCCAATAGTTTTCTAGCTTTCAAAATAATTA